CCCCCCCCCAGGCCCTGTAAAGAGTAGCATGGGACCACAGCCCAGGTCCAGGAGGGGCCATCTGTGGGGGAGCCCTGGTTGCTGGAGCTGGCTGGCAACCGCCCCTGAGAAGCCCCCCCCCCCCCAGCCCCCTCCCCTGGGTGCAGGTGGCAGGCAGCCCCTCTGGCTGGCCATTGGTTGGGCAGACCTGATTGACCCGTCCCCTTAGAGCAGGATCTGCCCCTCTGCACTCAAGGGGTGAAGAGACCCCCAGGGGTTGGGATGGCCCCGTTCTTCCAGGCTCTTCAATCCCATAATAATACAAAGCATTTCATAATTCAAGGCCGTTCACTTTGTCACCTTCTTCTGAATCAATAAGTGTTGATAATTGGACAGGGAATTTCTCCCAAACCATAATAAACATTTAAGATAATATTAGAATGTTAAGATAGCATCGGAAGCTTTTAAATGAACCTGAATTTTTAATTCACATTTTCCCAAACGCCATCACACTGCTAAACAAATAATTCCCTCCACACTATCCAACTATTTACAAAGTCTGCACTACTATTACTATTAATCTTCTCATTGCTCACCACCCGCCCCCTCCCACTTGTGACTGTATGACTGTAACCTTGCCGCTTGTATCCTTATGATTTATACTGAGTGTTTCCTAGTATGATTTGATTGCCTATGTGTTTCCTATGACTATTATTAAGTGTTGTACCTGATGATTCTTGACTCTTGACGAATGTATCTTTTCCTTTATGTACACTGAGAGCATTTGCACCAAGACAAATTCCTTGTGTGTCTAATCACACTTGGCCAATATAGAATTCCATTCCATTCCATTCCATTCCATTCCATTCCATTCCACTCCACTCCACTCCACTCCATTCCATTCCATTCCATTCCATTCCATTCTATTCTATTCTATTCTATTCTATTCTATTCTATTCTATTCTATTCTATTCTATTCTATTCTATTCTAAGCATCAGTGAAGTGGGACTATGGGAATCAGAGGACCACGTCCAAGAATTAGGGAGGGCCTCCCAGATGTTTGACAGGCAAAAGAGCCTCTCCTCTGGACCAGACCCAGGAGCGCTTCTTACACAGAGGTTGCTCAATCAAGTCCTGTTTTTAAAGCTTCCAGTGTAGGCGGTCAGTATCTTGAATTAAGTCAGGAAAGCCAGAGTGGATCCTTTACAGGGAGTCCTCAACTTACAACAGTTAATTTAGTGACCATTCAGTGACAATGGCATGGAAAAAAGTGACCATTACGACTGTTTTTTCACACAACCATTGCAGCCTCCTCAGGGTCACGTGATCAAAACTCAGGTGCTTGGCCACTCATTCAGGTGACGGTGGCAGTGACCTTCCGACAAGCAGAGTCAATGGGGAAGCCAGGTCCATTTAGCAGCTTATGGACTGCAGGGATCCACTTAACCACTGTGACAAGAAAGGTCATAAAACCGGGCAAGGATAATCCAACCCCCAGCACCGTGACTTTGTCTCATGTAGATGTCCAGCAGCTTTGCCATGAACGGGTATTTACTGCACAATCCCTTGGGCACAATAAGGCAGGATGAGAAGGGATGGGTCATTGCAACAGCATCATCACCACCACCAGATCTTGACCCGACTTGAAGATCCCCAAAGAGATCCTGGTTGGCATAGAAACAGTGACACGATCCAAAAGGCTCAAGACGGCACCCTCCGGTCTGTAAGGGGTCCGTTTGTTCTCCTGGGCCTGTCATGCAAGCCCCCCGAAAGCCAGCCCAATAAGGGCCCGCATTAACGTTTCTGAGCGTAGCCAGGGATTGGGTGAGTAGGTAGCCAGAGAGCTTGTGCTACCAAGCTCAGGCTAGCAAGGTGGGTTGTAAGCAACGGCTGGCAGGAAGAAAGGACAGAGGGCCAGAGTGGCTGCCCTTGGCCCTGTGAGCCTCCCAAGGCAGGGCTTGAGAGATTGTTTGGACAAGCTATCTCTTCCCAAACTGCTTTTCTGTGCCAGATTAGTTAATGAGTCCTGCTATCTGAAAATGGCATGATCCTGACCGATTGCCCCAAAGGCTTCCTTTGGTGTTCCAAGCCAGGGGAGCAGGTAAGCCAATACCTGGCGCCAAGGCATTATTCCTTTCTCCGCATTCTCCCCATTGTGGGTTTGCTTGCTGTCTTGCCCTCCAACGGTTGTAAACACAAACATTGTTTTCGCCTTGCTATTACAGCATCAAGGTGATTAGGTGAGGGCTACAAGGGGTGGGGGAGCAAGGAAGGGGCCATAGGATTTACCCCTTTTCCCAAACTTTCTCATGAGTCAAATTCCAGAAAATGAACCTTCTCTGCTGCTGTTCGGGCTCACCTGGCTGATTGGCGTTGCATCCTCCTGACATGTAAATATTTAGGGGCAATTTCTTAATAAACTTTCTGGAAAGATTTATTGAAATCCTTGTCTTGCTTGATATTCTCCTTTGGTGATCATCCTGCATCTTCTAAATTAAGTGTTGACATGCAGATTAGTGGAAGCAAACCCTAGGAACCCAAGTCTGGAGTCGGGCCCCCAAGGAGGGACACCGGCCTGTGGGCTGCTTTGGAGACGGATGGGACCCGGCCAGGCGTCTGCTGCTGCTCCTCCAAGAGACGCTCTGGTTGCCCTTGCCCGGATCTTCAGTGACCGATGTGCTCTTGGGTCAGGGCTCTGCCAGAATCCAGCTCCTTATTGTCTGCCTGGGGTCTCCTCTGCTCAGGCTCCTTGGCTCACTCTGAGGATTCAGGGGAGGCTCTAACAGGCATCCGAAGCGCCCACCTGGTCCCTTTGGGTAGGCCAAGCCAATGAAGAGACCCCAAGGGAATACTTTCGTGGCAAAGGTGTAGCAGCAGAAACTTGAACGCTCCCCGAGTGCACCCACTCCACCTCCTGCCTCTCTGGAATTCTACTGGCATTTGGAGAAGTCAATGAGTGGGAAATGGCAGAAAGATATTTGGGCAGATTGGTTGCCA